TCGATCTGAATGATTTATAAACTATAATTTTTTTTGTCACATACATGATTGAAGGAGCCTGCATTTATAAGGTATCTTTCATTCCCCAGAACATTCCGAATGTAATGAAACAATAGAATCATGGAATTACCTAGTGTGGAAACAGGCCCTTCGGCCCAACAAGTCCACACCGACCCGCAGAGCCTCCTACCCTGACCCACACCCCTATAACCCACTAATCTACACATCCCTGAACACTATGGGCAATTTAGCCTGGCCAATCTAACTAGCCTGCACATCTTTGGACAGTGGAAGGAAACCGGAGCACCTGGAGGAAACCCACGCAGACACGGGAAGAATGTGCAAACTCCAGACAGACAGTCGCTCGAGGGTGGAATTGAACCCTGGTCACTGGCGCTGTGAGGCAACAGTGTTAACCACTGAGCCACCATGCTGCCCATAGTAGGCCTCAGCGATAGGGAGAAGTTGGCCAGGATAGGCCTTGGAACATCGGAGAATGAGGGGTGATCTTATCGAGATGTATAAAATCATGAGGGGCACAGATAGGAAGAATGCATGTAGTCTCTTTCCCAGGGATGAGGAATTGAAAACTGAAGAGCATAGGTTTAAGGTGAGAGGGGAAAGATTTGAGAAGGACCTGAGGGGTCACTTCTTCACACAGAGAGTGGTGCGTATATGGAATGGGCTGCCAGAGAAAGTGGTTGAGGCAGGTACAATAGCTACATTTAAAAATCATTTGCATAGATTCATGGGTGGGAAGGGTTGAGACGGATATCGACCAAATGCGGGCAATTGGAACTAGCTGAATGGGCATCATGGTCAGCATGGACCAGCTTGGGCTGAAGGGCCTATTTCCATGCTTGATGACTCTAATGACTCTAATGCATGAAGTGTGGTCACTGTTGTAGGCTATGAAATGGCTACAGCCAATTTGTGCAGTAAGGTGGGTGGGGGGGGGGGGGGGGGGGAGCAGTTAAGCTGGTTTAAGTGTTGATTGATGGGTAAATGTTGGTTTGGAGGACCTCCCCCGTCTATTTTAAGCCATCTGAGGGGATAGAAAAAGCTTAGATTTAGCAACTGGTGCAACAGAAGACCTCGCCGACAGTGCAGTCCTCCTTCTATATTGCAGTTGAGCATCAAATGTGATTGTAGGCGCATTTCTCTAGAGTGGGACTTGGAACTCATCACTTTTCAATTCAGTAACAAGTAACACTAAGCCAAGGCTGGGGACACTGGAATGATAATTAACATTAATAACATTGACAGGTTAATGTTAAAAATAGTACTGGTGTTTATCTACATTATATTCACATTTACTAACTGATCAAAAATATATCATTAAAAGGTTGGTATTTTCAGGAAAGTTTGAGATAAGTGAGGATTTTTCAGCTTTTAAAATCTTTCCATCGTCTGCTATTTTATTCACTCTTATCCTAAAGGCACTGATTCATGCACACAGGTACCTGCAGACCTCTGGTACCTCACCTGACTGACAATTATGACACAAAAGAGAAATAGGCAATGATAATTGTAGAGCCTGTTTCCAGAACAGCTCATGCTCCACAGAGCTTGAATTTGGCCTGCCCAGTCTATAGGACTCAGAAATATACGACAAGTACCGCCAAATACTTTTGTCGCTTGGATTTATGATCTGTTTTAACCTTCTGTCAGGAGATGTGTAATATTTTTCCTTTACTACAGTGATTGTGGTTCTAAGCGTATTTATCAACAGGATCTGAAAAACTCAGGTGTGCCAAGGTATACGCGACATCCTCGTAATGTTCTGTGATGAATCTCCGCATTAATTGCTGTTGGCAACTGAACACTGGTTAAAAGCAAAATACGGCGGATGCTAGAGATCTGAAATAAAAACAAAAAACGCTGGACAATCTCAGCAGGTCTGAAAGTATCTGTAGTGAGAAAAAAGGAGGTAACGTTTCCAGCCCGATATTGACTACATCGGAACGCTTATTCTGAAACTACTTATTAATAGAATAAATTAAAACTATTTAAGAGTTCCAGCACCCGCCAGTACCTTGTCTTTATTATAACGTAATGAAATAGATTTACAATCGGACATGAAAAAAAAAGTACTGGAGAAACTCAGCAGCATCTGTGGAAAAAGAGAGAGACAAAACATTTGGCTTTAAGTACGACTCTCCGGGAGGAAAAAGGAAAACACATCACCCTCTTCGCAAGCTTAAGGAAATGTAAATCCTCCTTGTAAATTAAGTCTTTGTGAAATTTAGTTCCTGTAACAAGGCGGATTGAGTCTCATTATAACTATCACCAGCTGGGCTGCACGCGCTTCGTTGTTAAGGACTGTATTCCTTCCAGTCCGCTAGTAGCCTAGGACACATCAATGGCAGGAGCTATGGGAAACAGCCGAACATTATCGCGATAACTCCTCTGGGCAGGAGGGGCCGAGAAGAGGGTACGTGCCAAACAGCCTGACGTTGCTGCACAGCACTACGTTGTGATTGGTCAACTCGAAAGAGTGGGCCTGATGGCTGATTGGGCCGTGTCCCTGCAGCGCCCCACATGTTGTAGCCGGAAGTGGGCGTGACCACGCTGGGGGCGGGTTTCGAGCTGACCGCTTCCTGATTGGCTGCCTCGTCTCCCGGGTGACCAAACGGTCGCCTGCCGATTTGAAGAGGCGCGGAGTTGGGGGAGGGGGCGAAAAAAAAAATCATGAGAGGCGCAAAAGAAACAAAACAGCGCTCGGTGAATGAATAATCTAGTCTAGGGTGAAGAAGAAAATAATGTGACAGAGATGCAGAGGAAAAATCAACAGCAAAAAAATTGAAAAGTGGTGAGGGGCGACACTCAGGAGTGACCGGATCTGCCGTCAGATGTGCCGCTGCCGGTCAGTGGTTTCACTGTGCAACCACTGTAGGCCGCAGATCGACAAACACAGAGGCCTACATACATCCCCCTACACTCATACACAGACCTTACGGATAACGTTACTCTTCACAGGAGCAATAAAAGCCACAGTGACGCTGACGAGGGCCCAGCAGCATCATTATTGCGCTTTACCCTGGATGGGACGATTGCCTGTGAGTTCAACCGTATGTTTAATTGTTTTCTATAATTGTGGTATAGCCGAGGAACGTGGAATTCCATCTTTTTCTTCCAGTGTAGATCAGTTTCAAGGTTAGTAATCAATTTTCATTGCATGTGTACAGGGGTGTTCTCTCCTGCTCAGGAAGGATTGTGTTGCTAAAACAGAAAAAAGAGCATTATGTTGTGCTTTGTGCCTACCCAGCCCGTACTGTCTGCACTCAGCCTTGCATTAATTCGGGAATTAGTGATGAATCCACTAGTGCACCCAGTGTGCCTAGGAAATGGGTTGTCTGCAAGTACATGAGTAAGCGTAGAATTGTACAGAGATAGTAGGAACTGCAGATGCTGGAGAATCTGAGGTAACAAGGTGTAGAGCTGGATGAACACAGCCAGCCAAGCAGCATCAGAGGAGCAGGAAAGCTGACGTTTCAGGCCTAGACCCTTCTTCAGAAATGGGGGAGGGGAAGGGGGTTCTGAAATAAATAGGGAGTGAGGGAGAGGCGGATAGAAGATGGATAGAGGAGAAGATAGGTGGAGAGGAGACAGACAGGTCAAAGAGGCGGGGATGGAGCCAGTAAAGGTGAGTGTAGGTGGGGAGGTAGGGAGGAGATAGATCAGTCCAGGGAGGATGGATAGGTCAAGGGGGCGGGATGAGGTTAGTAGGTAGGAGATGGGGGTGGGGCTTGAGGTGGGAGGAGGAGATAGGTGGGAGGAAGGACAGGTTAGGGAGGCGGGGATGAGCTGGGCTGGTTTTGGGATGCAGTAGGGGGACCCATTGTCTCCGCCTGCTCCTGCCCCACCGAACTTATCTCCACCTATCTTGACTCCATTTTCTCCCCCTTGGTCCAGGAACTCCTTACCTACGTCCGTGACACCTCCCACGCCCTCCACCTCCACCAGAATTTCCAATTTCCCAGTCCCCAACACCTCATCTTTACCATGGACATCCAGTCCCTATACACCTGCATTCCCCATACAGATGGCCTAAAGGCCCTCCGCTTCTTCCTGTCCCACAGGCCTGACCTGTCCCCTCCACTGACACACTCATCCGCTTAGCCGAACTCGTCCTCACCCTCAACAACTTCTCTTTCAATTCCTCCCACTTCCTACAGACAAAGGGGGTGTCCGTGGGTACCCACATGGACCCAAGCTATGCCTGCCTCTTTGTGGAACAATCCCTCTTCCATACCTACACTGGCCCTAAACCCCACCTCTTCCTCCATTACATTGATGACTGTAGCGGCGCTGCCTTGTGCTCCCACAAGGAGCTCGAACAGTTCATCCACTTCACCAACACCTTCCACCCCAACCTTAAGTTCACCTGGACCATCTTTAATACCTCTCTCTCCTTCCTGGACCTCTCTGTCTCCATCTCTGGCAACCACCTAGAAATCGATGTCCATTTCAAGCCCACTGACTCCCACAGCTACCTAGAATACACCTCCTCCCACACACCTTCCCTCTAAAAATGCCATCCCCAATGCCCAATTCCTTTGCCCCTGCCGCATCTGCTCCCAGGATGAGGCATTCCACTCCCGTACATCTCACCTGTCCTCGTTTTTCAAGGACCGCAACATCACCCCCCCCACCTCAGTGGTCGAGAACGCCCTCAACCGTGTCTCCCGCATTTCCCGCAACTCATCCCTCACACCCCCTGGTTGCAATAACAACCAAAACAGAATCCCTCTCGTCCTCACATACCACCCCACCAACCTCCGGATTCGATGCATCATCCTCCGACACTTCCGCCATCTGCAATCCGACCCCACCACCAAAGACATTTTTCCCTCCCCACCCTTATCTGCTTTCCGGAGGGACCACTCTCTCAGTGACTCCCTTGTCCGCTCCACACTCCCCTCCAGCCCCACCACACCCGGCACTTTTCCCTGCAACCGCAGGAAGTGCTACACCTGCCCCTACACCTCCCCCCTCACCCCCATCCCAGGCCCCAAGAAGACTTTCCACATCAAGCAGATGTTCACCTGCACATCTGCTAATATGGTATACTGCATCTGCTGTTCCCGTTGTGGCCTCCTCTACATAGGGGAGACCAAGCGGAGGCTTGGGGACCGCTTTGAACACCTACGCTCGGTTCGCACTAAACAACTGCACCTCCCAGTCGCGAACCATTTCAACTCCCCCTCGCATTCCTCAGATGACATGTCCATCCTGGGCTTCCTGCAGTGCCACAACGATGCTACCCAAAGGTTGCAGGAACAGCAACTCCTATTCCGCTTGGGAACCTTGCAGCCCAATGGCATCAGTGTGGACTTCACAAGCTTCAAAATCTCCCCTCCCCCTACCGCATCCCAAAACCAGCCCAGCTCGTCCCCGCCTCCCTAACCTGTCCTTCCTCCCATCTATCCCCTCCTCCCACCTCAAGCCCCACCCCCATCTCCTACCTACTAACCTGATCCTGCCCCCTTGACCTATCCGTCCTCCCTGGACTGATCTATCTCCTCCCTACCTCCCCACCTGCACTCACCTTTACTGGCTCCATCCCCGCCTCTTTGACCTGTCTGTCTCCTCTCCACCTATCTTCTCCTCTCCACCTATCTTCTCCTCTATCCATCTTCTATCTGCCTCCCCCTCTCTCCCTATTTATTTCAGAACCCCCTTCCCCTCCCCCATTTCTGAAGAAGGGTCTAGGCCTGAAATGTCAGCCTTTCTGCTCTTCTGATGCTGCTTGGCCTGCTGTGTTCATCCAGCTCTACACATAGAATTGTACAGTATGTTTCTGCCAGCTCTCTGAAAGTAGCTCCAGTTAGCCCCTGCCTGCTTTTTTACAACAGCTACGTAATTCTCCTTTTTGACTATATTAACCATTTCCTTCGGAAAGCTGTAATTGAATTTCCTGATACCATTCATTCCAGCATTGAATTTCAGATTAGTTTAATGTGTCTCTTTTCATCTCCATTGACCAGTTATCTTCAACCTAAGTACCAGTAACGTAAATAAAGTGGAACTGTTAATGCTTCTTGTAGTTTTGAAAACTTCCATCAAATCTCCCCTTAACCTCTGTTCTAATATTGACAACAGCTTTTCCAGACTCTATGTAATTGAAGTCTTATTGTTGGTACTATTCTAATAAATCTTTGTATTTTATCCAAGACCTTGGCATCCTACCTGTGGGTGTGCAGTTCAGAATCAGAGAATTTTGGCTGAAACTTAACTTGTGAATTATAAAGTTTTACTATTTTTATCATTTTATAGTCTTGTTGCCAAAGGTAGCATTTATTGCTCATCCCTAATTATCCTGGAGAAGATGGTAATGATTTGCATTCTTGAAACACTGCAGTTCTTGGGATGGAGAGACACCTACTGTGGAAAGGGAGTTTCAGGATATTGACTCAGAGACAGTTTTAAAAAAACCTATGTACTTGCAGTTCAGGATAGTGTGGACTTGAGGTGGTGGTTTTCCCATGCGTCTGTTGCATTCGTCCTTGTTTTAGGCAGAATAGGTCATGGGTTTGGAAGGTGCTGTCACCAGAGCCCTAGTGGGCTAATACTATGCATCTTGTTAAACACTGCTGCCACTGTGTGTCTGTGACAGGGAGGACTGAATGTTGGATGTGCTGTTTGGGGTGCCAGTTTCCCTGTGCTTTTTCCAGGATGGTGTTGTTGGAGTTGTACCCCTCTAGGCAAGTAAAGAAGTATCCATCACACTTTTTTGATTTGTGTGTTTTGAGGGTTTAGATGAATTATTATTTGAATTCTTAACTTTTCTTGTTTGCTGTTGTAGCCATTGTATTTATATGGCTGGTCCAGTACAGTTTCTGATCTATGGTAGCTCCCCAGGGTGTTGATACTAGTGGATTTGGAGATTGTAATGCCATTGAACCTGAAGGGGTGACGATTAGATTCTCTTTTGCTGGAGGTGGCCATTGTTTGGCACTTATCATCCCAAACCTGGATGTTTTCACATCTTTTTGTGTGTGGACATGGACTGCTTTAGTATTTGAGCAGTTGTAAATGGTGATGACCATTGTGCAGTTATCAATGAACATCCCCACCTCTGACCTTGTGATGGAGGAAGGTCTTTGAAGAAGCTGAGGGTGGTTGTGCTTAGGACCCTACCCTGAAAACTTGTGTGGTGATAATCTAGGACTGAGATGATTGACTCCAACACCCACAGCCATCTTCCATTGTGCTAGGTATAACTCCAAGCAGTGGAGTGTTTTCCTCTTGATTCCCACTAACACCAGTCAAATGTTATCTTGATGTCAAGGGCCGTAGCTCTCACCCCATCATATTCCTGTCAAGATATGTGTCCTGTACACATTTTAACAGCCTTTGCCACTTGTTCACATCTTCAAAGATCTGTGTGTGTGAGCCTGCAGGTTTCCCTGTTCTTGAACCTTTTTAAAAATGTATAATTTTGTTTATATTTCCTGCCTTCATTCATGCTTGTAAAACACAAATCTTCACACTATGCTGCATTTATATTGCATCTGCTTTTTATTTTGCAATTTCACCAGTCTACATCCTGCTATGGTTTGTACCCTCCTTTCTTTGCTACATTTTCTTGTTGTTCCTACAAACTTTGAAACTTTGCCACCGTAAGAGATAGAAACAGAAATAGATCATTCGGCTCCTCGAGCCTGCTCCATCATTCACTAGGATCATAGCTAATCCGACATTCCTTGTCCACTTTTCTGCCTTTTCCCCATAATCCTTGATTTCCCTTATGGATCAAGAGTTTATCTACCTCAGCCTTAAACATACACAAAAACTCTACCCTCTAGCTCTCTGTCACAAGGAGTTCCAAAGACACTCCACACTCTGAGAGAAGAAAATCCTGTACATATTAGTCTTAAATTGGCACCTCTTTATTTTGACAGTATGTCTTCTTGTCCAAGATTCTGCCCTAAATAAGAGGACCAGAACTGCTTGAAGGACTCCAGATGTGGTCTTGTCAGCACTTTGCATAGTTTCAGTAAGACTTCTTTCATCTTATACTTCAACCCCTTGAAATAAGTGTCAACATTCCATA